TTGTTCAGGACAAATCCATAAATGATACATACATCTTCTAATAGAAAGCAAGGGCATTACCTGATTTCAAGTCTATTATATATCGTACTCATATCAGGGGTTGTTCAGGACAAATCCATAAATGATACATACATCTTCTAATAGAAAGCAAGGGCATTACCTGATTTCAATTTCTCATTGACTGCCCAGTCAAGAGCCTTCCGAGCTGGTTTAGTAAGGGGAGGAGACTCTGGATTGGAATAATACATGTCGGATTTTCCAAGCAACTTCAGTGTTTCTTCACTCACCTTGAAAAAGGTTATACCATTTGCTCTCAAAAACTTGGCAGCCAAACTGGTCCCTAGCAAAGCAAATCTCGCTTCATTCAAACTCAAAAAACTATCTTCCAAACCTAATAGACAATTACCATCCATACACGCACACACACATGCCATAGTAGGAATAAGAATGTAGTTTCTTCAGAAGCATCCACTGAGTTTGATGCTAACCTTCAACTAAGATGCCCATTAAAAGAGCTTCAGTGCCAGTACTTGGGTACTTGATCTTCCTTGCTTCTAATTCAGCCATTACGAATGCCTGTATTGCTCTTGACGACCATCTACAACATTATTCAACAAACTTTTTTTCACATTACAAATCAAATGGATAAAGATGATTCATAAACCAACTCCAAGTGATCTGCGATTTAGGCATAGTTGATTACATTTATTTTAAAAAACACAAAACTAAATAGTCAACAACTAAACTAACTAAGCAAACATACTTGGGCTGTTTCTCATAACCCTCTGGTTTCCTGCAAAGCAAAAAAACAACAATTTGTTACTCATTTTGCAAAATGCACTTCCAATGCAACACTAGGACAAAACAAATTGGAACGGAACGGATAATTTACAATCAAATGAAATCCAAACATAGCGACATGGAAGCTTACGTAATAGGGAGGCTGAAGGCAACCGTTGCTACTGTAGAACGACGACGTTTGGGAGTAACACTGTTCAAATTCTGCGGCCGAATCAAGAGCTTCCCGCCGGTAAAACTAGTAGCCAGAGCTTTACAATACTTATGGGTTAAAAAAGTATTAGTATTCTCACTTTGTTTGTTGCTAGAATTGGAAGTTAAAGACTGGATTGGAAGTAATGAAAAACTGTGAGTCGCCATTGGAGTAGAAGAAAACCCTAAAAATGTAGAGAAACTAATTTGATTCTTGTCCCCTCCCGCACAGAATTTTCTACTTTTGTAGCTGCTATAAATGTGCTGATTAACAATGGACGAAGCGTAGAAGCTTCAACTGAGGTGGATATAGCTGTGAAAGATAATTCTCTTGAAGAAGACATGGAGCAATGGTAGTTGGGCCGAACTCACACTGATACGCAGCCATAAATGGGCCTAACGTAGCCCATATGTGTTCTTAGTTTTTATATATGGGAAAATTTCATATATCGCAAACTTAATTGATGAAATAACATTAGATTGGTATAGTTTACATAATTACATTCTATGGATATAGTTTAGGTATTTAGGTATGTTTAATTTTGTATATAACGTTATTTATTTATTATTTATACAATTTTTTTTATAAAAAAATGGATTTTAGCTGAAGCGTTAAATAAGGTAACAATAAATTTATATAATGTCATAATTTAAGGTAAACGTTCAAAATTAATATTTTATTCAAAAAAAAAAAGAATTATACAGTAATTGAAAGACAAAAATAACTTGTTTTTGCGCACGAACGAAGCATCAGTTTAACAATTTTTTTCTTGATATATTCAAAGACAAATAATGTTTCATTAGAGGAAACTCCATGTTACTAATTGCAATAATTATACAATTTTCTCTTATATTTACAAAGTTGGATGTATGTGCGGTTCTTTGTGTGTTGAAACTTGTATATGTCCACAACGTAATTGTATTACGATATTCTGGAGTGTTTCAGAAAAAACTGGTTTGAATATCTATCGTAAACTATAGTTTTTGTATTCTAATATTTATAAACAATTTATTGCACTAATGTCAATGAGCAAATGTATATTAATTTTTTGTATACGAAGGTCGTATGACAAAATTGTATAGATCTATGAAATTTGAGTCTTGTCTTTAATTTCGTTACCCGTAATATAGTTGTGTAGGATAAGTTTTTTGATTTCTAATATTCATATACAAATATTGTAGTAATGTATATGTTGAGATGTATATAAGTGTATTACATAAAAAGTCGTAGGAGACAATTGTATACATTTTTAAATGCAGATCAGTGTAAATGTAATTTTGTTATTATTGATTATTGATTGTATAAAAATGTTGTATCAATTGTATATATGTTATTTGTGCATGATTTGAAATAAAGTTTTGATTAAAAAATCTTCAGATAATGTCTTCATTGGCTATTTTGGTTATGCATTCTGAAAAATAGGACGATACAAATAGTTACATTGATTATATGATAGAGTGTATAATGTTTAAGGAATAAGCAATGTTTTTTGAGTTTTATACAACAATTGCCACACAGATTGATGTTGATATGAATAATAAGATATTGAAGATTAAGTATGTGATATAATTGCATTTTTGTATAATAACAAAAAAATGTATACATAAATTATATTTGTAATTGTAATTCTTTTGTATATATATACAAACTATATTTTTTGTGTATTAACATGTGTACATGAATATGGTACTTGTATATAACTACTAAAATATACAAATTATAATGTACAATTATAAATTACGCATATTCCTATAACTTAATACAATTGATTTTTGTATATATATACAAAAACTAATAAATATTTTTTTTAAGGATGTTTATCTAAGAATAAAATTAATAATATATAAATATTTATTATTCTACTTACAAACCAAACGATATACAACATTAACCAAGTTATTTATACACAAGGTCAAGCTTATATAATAACCAAACGGTTCCTAATAATTCAATAATTTACTATATTTTTCATTGAACTCAATATATTTATAAATATACTTACTACCAAAAAAAATATATTATAATGAGATTATTTTATGTTCAAACGAGCTGGAATCTTTTCCTTTTTAAAATATCACTAACTTGGAATAGTAAATTTTCATTTTTTAAATTATAATATAAAACTTTTAATAAATGTATTTTAAATATTATCCCACAATGTTATTTTAAATTAAATATTATAATAGACAATATGGTCTACAGTCTAGACAATATATGGTTGGCAAATTGACTTTACTAATTTCTAATATTATTATATTATATTCTTTTTATAATCATGATAACGGTGCAAGTGAACATTATAATATTGTTGCCATTATAGATATCTATTCTCCGTTCTATTTTAATTTGTCACTTAACTTTTTCATATTCATTAATAACTATTAATATAAGGTATAACTTATAAAATAATTCTAATTTGTAAAAACAATTGATATTTTTTCTTTAATATTATGGGTATATTTTAAAATAATAATCAATTTTAGAGCCTATTTAAATTAGCTTAAAGTTGATTCGTTTTTAAAAGTGTTTGATAAAGTTAGAAATAAGTTAAATAAATTTAAATGATTTTTAAAAAGTTAAAAATTAAAAATATATCTCCTCTTACTTTTTATTATTTAATTGTTATTTTTAAAAATCAATCTAAACGGGCGCTTAGCCTTAAATTTCTAATGTGACAATATTTTGAGATAATTTCTTAAAATTAAAGTGAGAGTTAGTTGTTACTTTGTGGATAGGTATCTGTTTTTGTCGGCGGAGAGATATGTCTATTCGTTTTTTATTATTTTATTATCCATACGTTTGCATTATTTCATTTTTTCAAAATGTATTAAAATAGAAAACAATTCGTAACATAATAAATTTACTATTTTATTTTTATTAATTATGAAATGTTTGAATTAAAACTTTAATATTTTCAAAAAGTTTCATTTTTTTAAAGTAATTAATTGAGAATATAATAAATAAATATTTTCTTAAATTTATCAAAATAAACAACGAATTAGAAATAACTAAAAAAAAAAAGCAAATAATTAAGGATCGAGACTATTATAAATATAATTGAAAACAACACTTCTTTAAATATTTTAACGACATATTGATTTATTTTTCGAAACATATTTTAAACTATAAGTTGTTCATCTAGCTAAAAGGCAATTTTGAGAAGGGAAAAAAAAAACATAACAAATTATAAAATTGATTGATTTTTATATAGCTATTCACTTCTTTATTCAAAAAAATATTTTCTTTATTCGTTCAAAAGACAAATAAAAAAATATTATTTTCAAGATATTTAAAACATAAATGAGATAATATATTATTTTTTTCATTATTCTTAAAAGACATTCATTTATAGGTACCAAATTCACAACATACATGCATAATTTCCTTTTGTATGAAAAAGAAACAAATTCAACGAACAAGAATAATATTCCTTTCTTCTTCGTGATACCAACATTTATAGAAAGAAAAAAAGAGAACATGAAACACAATAACTTATTTCAATACTAAAATAATCATTTCTTATTACGTGTAAACTTAATTATTAAAAAAAAAAGAAAAATATACAAACGCCTTTTCAAAGCTCGAAACTTTATAAACACACTTATATTATATATTGATTCTATTAGCTCTTTGAATTTATTAAGTAATTTTCTATCCATTTTCGACCTACATGACACTAACTTGAAAATAAAAGTTAATTAATATTGGCCCACAAAATGATGGCACGTAGGTCAAAAAGAGATAGAAAATTATTAACAAAATAAGTTCAGGAATAGTAAAATAAGACTTTAGTATAGTATAAATATATTTTTGAAATTTCGAACATAGATTGAGGAGTACTTATACATTATTCCAAAAAAAAATGCAATTTATAATGTTGCGTATTTAAGTTAATTTTGACGGTGACACGTGACACAGAAATAATCACATGCTCAACAGTACCCCACCTGTATCCAACCTTGACGATTGTTAATTAGGTTTCCTTAATTAATTACAAATTTCAAATTAATATTTGGTTCATGTGTATGAGAGCCGCATTAATCAATTTTATTCATCCAGATCTTGTAAAGTTTTGATATTTTTTTTTTTGTAATCCCCATAATCAATTATTATACTACTGGTACTAATTTTTGCATCGCCAGATCCGATATTATTCTTCTGACGTTGCTTTCATTTTACACCAAAAAGAAAAAAAAAACTTTGACTGTAAGCAGAGCTCGCCGGCGATTTGTTTGTGAGTTTCCGGTGTATTTTGAAGATTCATTTGTGGGTTTGCTTTCATCAGCTTTGAATTTTATGAAATGGGTTGATTTTGGTTTTCCTGAAGGTTAGTTCTTTGGTTCTGAATGGGTTCATTTTTGATAAATCGGATAAAATTAGGGAGTGTTTTTAGGATTTTTGTTTTTCTAGTTTGATATTGCTTATCCATATATAAGTGTTGTTGCTTGTTATATAGGGTTATTCAATTTTTTGATTTTTTTGCTTATGCTTAGAATTTTCAGTTTTTGCAGGTTATCTGTGTAGTTGGTGTTCAGGAAGTGATTTGTTTTTCTTAGCTTTAGTTGGCCGTAGTTCTCTAAAGGTGGTTATTCTGGTATTGAGAGCTTCAACATTCTCAAAATTGGATAAAGATTCTTTTTTTTTGTAGTTTCTTTTGGTTTTGGGGATTGTGGTTTTGAAGCCATATCCTAGTGACATTAGTTGTTCTAGAAAACCCCATGTTGTTCTAGAGATTGCTAGACATTTGAGAAGCTATGTCTTCTTTTTCACCTAAAGATCCTTCCGTGCTGTCCTATCCAAAGTCACTATTGTCTATTGTAACTACAGTAGGAGGTCTTGCTGTGTTTTTGATTCTTGCTTCCTCATTTCTGGTTTCTCAGCCTATTGGGGCTGCAGTCCATGAGTATTTTTATGGTGTTCATCAGTTGACAAGGCCTAATTTATTAGATGGGGATAGGGTAAAATTTGCTGATCCTCGTCGTGATAATGTTGGTATTAATGGTACACCTAACTTTAATTTGACGGCGAAGGAAAACAATGAAAAAGGACTTAAGGATGAAAAGGACCAGACTTACAAGTCTCAAGACGAAAAGAAAGAGCTAGATTCTAAGGGGGAACTAGTTGAAAATTCTACCCAAATACCTGTTTTGTCAGAATCCAATCATTCTGTGGTTCAACCACATCCTGTATCAAAGCAAGAAGACAAGAAGAGTAACAATGTTAGTTCGCAGAAGGAAAGCAAGAATGAAGGGACTCTTCCATCTTCTGATACCCATTCAGAGGACGTAAAATCTTCATCTACTGGACCCAATAGCGTAAATCAGGCTAAGCTAGATCCAGGTTCAACTTTCATCCCTTGTTTTGTTTTATTTGTATCTTGCTAGACTCTGCACAGTAGCATATCTTCATTGTTTTACTAGATGATGAGCTCTTTTTTTTTTCTTGTTTATCAAAGTAAGTAGTTATTTTTTTAAAAAATTTTTGAATTGCTTTTTAGTTCTTCTTGTTATTCATATTAATCGTTCATGAAATCAATACTGACGAATTGAAAATGAAAAATCGTGTGTATGCAAACGAACAAATGCAGGATAGCTTGAACACAAACTAAGTTAATGGATGTTGATGTTTAATGGTGATCATATTCCCGGGATGTAATTGCAGTATCTTAAGTGAGATGGATAATTTGCTGCACACTACATCAAAATGCTTGTCTTTAGTTTCCATCTTGCTGAAATCTCATTCTAACTACCTGTTAAGCAAATCTATTAGCTGAATTTCACCATAGATAGTACAAATGACAAGTTTTGTGCAAGCTACTTGTTAAAGAATGACAAAAGTCTTATATCGGTGGTTAATGAGATGAGTGGACTTCTTGTAAGGCTTGGATAATCCTTGTTCTTCTGAGCTAGCTTTTGAGGTGTGATTTGGCCTAAGACCTAATTTCGCATGGTATCAGAGCAGGGCCCGTTTCACCCGATGTTGGGCCCCCAAAATTAAAATTGCCCATGCACCAGATGCTAAGCACTGGGCGCGAGGTGGGGTGTTAAAGAATGACAAAAGTCCCACAACGGTGGTTAATGAGATGGGTGGACTCCTTATAAGGCTTGGACAATCCTCCTCAAACTTTTGGGGTATGAGTTAGACCTAAGATCTAATTTACATTACTTGTTTCTATACTTCGTTAGAGATGTTCCAGTTATATGCCGAAAAATATGGTCCTTGGGTATTTTTTGAGACAATATGAGTTGTTGAAAGACTCGAGATTTGTTTACTCTAATGAAGTTGTTTCATAGTTGTATTTGGCTTCAACTTCTTTGCTCACTGCAAGTTAACTTAGTTGCTAAACCAAATTCTTTATGATGCTGTTCTGAAACTCTCAACATCCTTGATAATGTTGCAGAATGTGATCTATATCATGGAAAATGGATTTCTGATCCGTCCGGACCATTGTACAGAAATGACTCCTGTCCTGTCCTGACACAGATGCAGAACTGTCAAGGAAATGGAAGGCCTGATAAGGATTATGAGAACTGGCGATGGAAACCAGCTCAGTGTGAACTGCCACGATTTGATCCAAAGAAGTTTTTGGAACTAATGAGAGGAAAGACTTTAGCATTCATTGGTGACTCAGTTGCTCGCAACCAGATGGAGTCTATGCTGTGTATCCTTTGGCAGGTACCTTTACGCTCCTCAAAATGTACAGTAGTTTGGCAGCGAAAGCAAGGGTTTTGCCTTCTAGGTCGAGCTCGTCACACTGGGCTTGCCTAGTGTGGGTAACCTCCCCTGTGTGGGTTGTGAGCTATTGCGTAGAAGCAGAAGTTTTACCTTGTGTGCATCCAAAGGGTAGTGGGTGCTGTCATAAAAAAATGTACAGTAGTTTGGCAATTCTGGAGTGTGACTTGGATTAGCTATCTAGCAACCTTGAATCCTGATCTCTTTGCTACTTTCTGCAGCATTTGCTTTGACTTTGTCTTTGTCTTGTCTTTTAATTTTCAGTATCTTGAAATGTGAATGACACCTGAATAGGGACACAAGGGCACACACTTTGAAAGTGAAAATTACATTAGTTGAAAAATGTAGAACAGCATTGATATTGTTATATAATATATGTGTCAAAGTTCTCAGCTCCTGAAACAAGGTTAGGTTCTAGTCTCATTTCCCTATTTTTACTCCAAAAAGTTCCCCCCTATAGGATGAGCAGTACAACTAATGTACTGAGTTTTTTGTAGTATACAATTAAGAGAGCCTCAGACCTGATATTCTCAACACTGTAGTTTAGTAATTATCAACAAAAACACATGAACTTGCTTTTATGCCATGAACATTGGTGCTGGTAAATACTTGATCAGTTCAGTGGCATAAGCTGGTATACATGTGAGCAGCTTTTACGCCATGAACATCTTTGCTGGCAGATACCTGATCAGTTCAGTGGGCGTAACCTGGACATTGAATAATTGTAAATTATTTCTCTTTTCTCAATTTGGGTTCTTCTACCTATCTTTTAGAACCTGTAAAGATTTATTTGGCTTATACTTAAGTGTAGCTTCATATATGTTAAAAGTTCGCAACTCCTGTTACAAGTTAGGTTGTAGTCATATTTCCCTATTTTTTACTCCAAAAGTTTTTCCTATAGGATGAGCAGTACAACTATAATGTACGAGTTTTGTTTTATACTATTAGGAGAGTCATAACCTCGATTTTCAACTCTGTCGTTTAGTATGTATCAACAAATGCTTGTGAGCTTGCTTTTATTCCTTGAACATCGGCATTGATAGAAAATTGATCAGTTCAGCATTATAAGCTAGCATGAGTTATTGTAATTTCTTTCTCCTTTTCAATTTGGGTTCTCCTACTTATTGTTTGGAACCTGCAACGTTTTATATGGTTCATAGATGAGTGTAGGTTGGATACAATCTGTATTTACCTTCACCTTGGGATTGAGTCGCAGGTATTAAAAAGTGGAACCTGCTTTTGGTTCATGACATTTAGTATGATGTTTGCAACAAGGACTACATAGACTTTCCATTTTTACCTGTTGCCGAACATTTATGTGAATATAAGCACAAATAGGTACAGAAGGGTAGCAAATTCAATAATACGGCTATCAGTTATAGTTTCCGGCTTTCCGCCCTAATAGAGCCTGGAGAAAAAATAAACATTGAAGTTAAAAGAAAAGGTTAGTTGTTGGTGGCAAATAATGAATGAGATGGTCAAAGGAGGTCGTAATGGGAAGTTGGATGAAGAGATTGACAAGGTGGATATGGAGCAGATAGGGCGACGTGCCTTTTAAGAATTTCGGTCTCGCTAGGTCGTATATGTCAACCATGAACAATAGATGCGCTCTGCTATGTATTCACCATTCATTTGTGCTCGATAGATGCTTTCTGCTATCTATTTACCCTTCATTTCTGGAAATAACTTTATTCTTGGTGAATCATTGATGTTGCTCTTTTAAATTATATGATCCTCTTGGTCAAGTGCTAGCTTATTTGACGTTTCAACCACTAAAAACTGATCAGTAATGAGTTATAGTGCCTTGTGAACTGTGAAGTGTTCCAGAATTGTCTCATATCTGCCTTTTCCCTGTATCTTGTTTCTCCTTTTCTTCTTTAAGAAGCTGATGACCGCATCTCGTTTATCCTAACTCGGCTGTTCGTTATTTTACATTTGGAATCTGTGCTGTGAAGCCCTCGTAGATGTTTATTATCTATGAAGTCCTTTTAAATGTTTATTATCCATGATTCCCTTCTAAATATTTACTATCACTGAAGCCCTTGGAATTTCAAATTGAATTATAGAACTTCATACATGTTTTGTCCCTCTTCCAGTGTACATTTGTCAAAAGCCAGGTGGTTCATTGTGCCTCATCATCTAATTTTTGTGTCTTGTTATTCCCTTTTGGCAGTATGAGGTTCCGAAAAATCGTGGAAACAGAAGAATGCAGCGGTACTATTTCAGATCCACATCTACTATGATTGTTCGCATTTGGTCTTCATGGCTTGTCAACCAAACATCTGGGCCTCTTGATTTCGCTCCAGCAGGTGTAGTTAAGCTCCACCTTGATGTTCCTGATGATGGGTTCATGCAATACATCCCCCAGTTTGATGTCGTTGTGCTCTCCTCCGGCCACTGGTTTGCAAAGCAATCTGTTTATGTTCTGAATAATGAGATTGTTGGAGGACAATTGTGGTGGCCAGACAAGTCTAGAAAGATGAAGGTCAATAATGTTGAAGCTTTTGGAATCTCTGTTGAAACCATCCTGACTGCCATGGCAAAACATCCGAATTTCAGTGGTGTCACCATTGTCCGTTCCTTTTCACCTGATCATTACGAGGGCGGAGCATGGAACACGGGAGGATCATGTACTGGAAAAGTGAAGCCTGCAGAGGATGGTGAGCTGGCTGAAAATGGCTTCACAAACATAATGCACGAAAAGCAATTCTCGGGTTACACTCGTGCAATCAAGAAGAAAAACAACAAGTCCGCGTTACTATTTATGGATATCACAGGAGTCTTTGCATATCGCCATGATGGACATCCTGGTCCTTACAGAAGCCCCGACCCAAACAAAATCACAAAACGAGGTCCTGATGGTAAACCCCCTCCACAAGACTGCTTGCATTGGTGCATGCCAGGTCCTGTTGATACATGGAATGAGCTGGTATTTGATCTTGTAAGGAGAGAATTCGAGAGAAGACAGAGCAATGCTTCATGAGAAAGATCATCGTTGCGATAACCCATTTTCGTGCTTCTACAGCACAGCTACCGGAAGAACATTTATCTCTCTGGAAAAAAGGAGTTCAGCTTGTAGTTACTTTAGATCTCTTATTGTAGCTGGTGTTGTAATCTATGTTTAGATATTCACATTCCACAGTAAGATAAAAAGTATATGAATTTGATTTTCTCAGGTCTCAAGTATGTGCAGGATGATTATAACTACTTATATATATATACATACGTTTCCTTTTGCAATAAAATCCCACCTCTCCTACCATCTTATTTTCCCCTTGCCCATAAAGGTTTTGGGTTTGAGTTTTCTAAACAAGCATTTTACCGGTAAAATTGGATTTTCTTGTATGAATTCGATAAATTATCGATAAATTTAACATATCATCATGTTACTTTTTACTTTATCATTTTTATAAAATTATTCGAAAGATTAAATTTTCGCAATTTAATCAAAAAGAAATTAAATAGATAGTCATTTGCTGTTCCTTTACCTCTTTTTTTTTTTGGCTACGAACAAAATTCTACTGTTTCTTTTACAAAAAATTTACTTTTGTTTTGACTGTTTCATTAAAGTAAAAAAATCATTTTCTCTTATGGACCACAACAACATTTACCTTTCTCCTGTGATTTAGATTTTCATGATGGATAAATTCATTTTCTTTCCCTCCTCTAATTCATTTGAATTCTAACCAAATTGAATAAAGAAAGAGAAAAATATTTTCTTTTTAAATTTATCTCGAAAAGTCAGTTATACGTTTAAAGTATCATGATGATCTATTATTATATACTTAATATTATTCAAAATGATACTTTTTTCCCCTTCGGATAAGAAAATCAAAATTACTTTATGATCTATAAATTTTCTTGATAATTATGGATGCAAATTAAGCATTTCGTTTGTATTATTTGTGTATAGTAAATAATCAATTATGCTATTGGTGGCGGCTTAAGACAAAATGATATTGTGATTGGTGCTCCAACAAGCCAAACATAGACCAATCACTTCCTTCAATGGATTTTGAAAATTTTAGACAATATAATCATGAATTTTATGCATAAATAATCATAGAATTTTCAATAAAAGTCATTATCTTTCTAATGACTTTTCTCTCTAATAATCTTCTTCGTAGGATCCTCCGACGAGTTCGAGCAGGAAAATGATGAAGTTTAATTTGAAAATTTATTAACCTTCCGATAAAAATCATTTAACCTTCCGATGAAAATCATCTTCTTTTACACTCCTTTCTATTTTTTTTTAGAATTCCTCCATAAGGATTTGAATATGTGTCAATGGGTATAAGGTGAAGGAACAATAATTAATGGTGACAAAGTAAAGAATGATTGAAGAAGAAGATGTCAAAATAAAAGAAAATTGCGAAAACATTTTTTTAAAATAAAATTGTGGGTGGGGGGGAGGGGGACGATAAAAAAACGAAAAAAATAATAATATTGACATAACTAATATATCAGAAATTATAACACTTAATTATATAATAACTAATAAGATAGTGCCACAAATTCAAATTTGTCATTTAACATTTTTTTCTTCTTTTCACGCACCTTAAAGAAAGTGAAGACACTTTCTCTGCCATGTCATCTTCAAAAGGGGGCACTAATTCCACTTTAAACAAGTTCAGGTATATAATAGATCATCAAAATAGTTGAAATGTGTAAATAACTTTTCGACAAGTTCAGGCAGGAGAAATCTATGTTTTTTCCCTTCAGAAAATTTCAAAAAAGATAAAGTATACGTATGTATGGGCAATAAGTAAGTCCTGCTATTTCTAGATTTTTATCATTCGTAACAGAAAGATTTGAAAAGATAAATTTAAGATATATATATATATATATATATTGAACCAATTCAATATTTGAGTTTTTGCTATTTGAAATGTTGAACTCAAATTTTTACTATACATCATCAAAAAAATATTCTTAATTAGAATGTCAAATGTGATACCAATAATCACGTAGAGAGGTTTACTCAGTTTTAACGAAAGAAAAGAAGAAAAACAACAAGATAAAGTTAGTATATGAGGACTAAAATTTTACTTGCCCAAAGGTATAAAACTCAAACTCGAGGACTGTATTTCCATTTTTCGTAAGATTATGGACTAATTTGAAACATTAGAAAATCAAGGGACGAAACGGTCGAACGTTTACTATAGATCCGCTCATCTTCAACGGTCGAATTTTTCATATTTTAACGGCTACTTTTCTTCCCATTTCTCTTTCTCTTACCTTTAGCTTCATTTGAATCAATAATTTTGAAAATCCTCTCATCAATTAGCATCCGGAACAAAAACATCTCAGCTTTCGATTTCCAAATTGCAACATAACTGTTGATTCAGGTACTTCCCAACAAATTTTCGGCTTCTATGATGTGTAAATTTATAGGAAAAGAATGTAAAATCGAAGCGTAAAAATCATGGATTTTTGTTCTTTTTCTTCCTAAATGATTGAAACGGATGAAAGTAAATCCATTCTATCTCTATTTTACCAATCCCTGATTGTTGTAGATATGATTTAGGGTTTATTGGATGTGTTTTCTGGATATGTTCAGTAGAAAGCAGTCGGAATGATGAGTTAGGGTTTAAGTTTCAGTTCAAATTAATGAGATTAGTGTTTGTGTTCTCATGGTGTTTGTTTTATGCTACACTGATCTTATAAAGATTGTTTTTTGTTAACAGATCTGACGTCTTTTAAGATGACAGCTGCTCAAGGTGATCCAGTTCAGCAAATGGAAACTACATGTGGAACATTGCTATATGAATTGCAGGTAATTTTCATGAATTAGCTACTAGTGACTTGTTCGAAATTCATCAGTTCTTGATACTAATCTTGCAGTTCAAACATGTTTCCTTTTTTTTTTCTCTCCTTTTTTTTTAAAGATTATATGGGATGAAGTTGGGGAATCTGATACTGAAAGGGACAAAATGCTGTATGAGCTTGAACGAGAATGTTTAGAAGTATATAGAAGAAAGGTGGATCAGGCTAACAAGAGTAGAGCTCAATTAAGGCAGGCAATTGCTGATGCTGAAGCAGAGCTGGCAGCTATCTGTTCTGCGATGGGGGAGCGACCAGTTCATATTAGGCAGGTCAGGAAAACGTAACCAAATAGCCTTACAAGTTATCTTTTCAGGGATTTGTAGAAAGAAATGACATACATTTTGTTCTTTATCCAATCTCCGAGATGATAATTCGAGACAATAGCTTGTAATTGTATGTTTTTAAATGAGATTTACATGTTAATTTTAGTTTCATGAAATAGTAATCAATTTTACGATGAATGTTGTGTTCAGTCTGATCAGAGCCTTGGAGGTCTGAAGGCAGAACTTAGAACCATTCTTCCAGAATTGGAAGAGATGCACAATAGGAAATCTGATAGAAAGAATCAATTCATTGAAGTTACAAAGCAGTTACAGAAGATTAGGGATGAAATTTTTAAGCCCACTGGTTGTACTTCTACTGCTGTGGTAATTGATGAAAGTGATTTATCGTTAAGAAAGCTAGAAGAATTACATGCTGAACTGCAGGCACTTCAAAAGGAGAAGGTCAGTTTTCTGCTGCACTCTATTCAGTTGTTCCAAATCTCCATACTCCCGAGCAAATGATAGAACAACTATTTTGACTGATTTTTACTATCCTTTGGTGGCAGAGTGAACGCTTAAAACAAGTTTTGGACCACCTAAGTACTTTGAACTCACTATGCTTGGTTCTTGGTATGGATTTCAAAAGTACTGTCAATGAGGTTCATCCAAGTCTAGGGGAATCTGAAGGAACCAAGAATATAAGTAATGACACCATCCAACATTTAGCTGCTGCAATAGGAAGACTAAGAGAGGTTAAGTTACTCAGGATGAAACGGGTATGCAAATGATTAAATTGTTCTGAAGTCACTGATTCTTTTTTTCCTTTTTAACTCAATACACATTGTTGACCTTCTTATTGTCGCAGCTGCAAGAGCTTGCATCTTCCATGTTGGAACTATGGAATTTGATGGACACCCCCATTGAAGAGCAACAGACTTTTCAGAATGTTACTTGTAAGATAGCTGCCTCAGAACATGAGATAACAGAGCCAAATATCCTGTCAGTGGAATTCATTAATTATGTAAGTAAATGTATAATTAGATAAATTATTTTGGCGTCTTCCACTACACGACTATCCTTTTGTCATTTGAGAGTGAACTATGGGAAATGACACTAAAATATTTTACTATCAAGGTTGAGGGAGAATTGTCCCGCTTGGAAGAGTTGAAAGCAAGCAAAATGAAAGAGCTTGTTTTGAAGAAAAGATCAGAACTAGAAGAGATATGCAGAAAAACACACATGGTTGCTGATTCAGATAATGCGATGGATGTTGCTATTGAAGCTATTGAATCTGGTATTTATCTTGTAGCCAACAGGCAGTTCTAGTCTTAAGCCTACAGCCTGTTTATGTGATTAATGTCAAGATTTTTTTGCCTTTTTGCTCTCTAAAAGGAGCTGTTGATGCTGCTTCTATCCTCGAGCAAATTGAACTCCAAGTAGCACAAGTTAAAGAAGAAGCCTTCAGCAGGAAAGAAATATTAGACAAGGTGGAGAAATGGATAGCTGCATGCGAGGAGGAGTGCTGGCTTGAAGAATACAACAGGGTTGGTTTGCTTTTGACTTGCATTGTAATGTGCTTTATAAGTATAATGTGCTTTATAAGTATACTCATTATCACTCAATTATCGCCTTTGACTCCTGCCCAGGATGAAAATCGTTACAATGCTGGACGAGGTGCGCACCTTACTCTAAAGCGTGCTGAGAAAGCTCGTACTTTGGTTAATAAGCTTCCAGGTATAAGTTACATCCTGATTGTTTTGTCCCATTTGTCTGGAGCCTCATTTTTAATCTGAAGTTATTATTGTCTTATAGATCTGGTGACTTCAGTGTTGAGAAAAATAATAATGTTATTTTTTTTATCTTTGAACTATTACTTCTTGACAACTTGTTATATATCCTGATGTTTCGGTAACAATGAAATTTGACACAATTACAGTTGTTGAACTACAATATTGCCTGATACTGATGTGTCTGATCGTATTAATGTTATTGAACAGTAATGGTAGAGGCATTGGCATCAAAAACAAAAGCATGGGAAAATGAGAGAGGAATTGATTTCACTTATGATGGAGTATGTTCTCTTCACTTTTGCTTTTTTAAATATGTCAATTTTCTGGTATAAGTTACCGGCAGCACGTGAGCTTCCCCTCAAGTTTTGATCTACTTTCTGCTAGATACGTCTTCTTGCTATGCTTGAAGAGTATAACATCTTACGACAAGAAAAGGAGGAAGAACGCAAAAGACAACGAGTATGAACTGAACCCTCAATTGACTTTCTGTTGAAGCTATAAAAATGTTTGCTCATATCATTGATGAGTCAAGTCAGTCTTCTAAAACCTTCTCATTTGTCTCAACTCAGGATCAGAAGAAACTTCAGGGACAATTAATGGCAGAACATGAAGCTATGTATGGCTCAAAGCCTAGTCCTATGAAGAACCAAAGTGCCAAAAAGGGTCGTAGAATGTCATGCAGTGGTGCAACCAATAGAAGGCTTTCTGTTGGAGGAACAATGCTCCAAACTCCGAAGCTTTCTATTGGGGGAACAATGCCCCAAACTCCCAAAACTGAATTCCATTCAACCAAAGCTACACCAAACACACATAACACAAAGAAATCTGATCTCTTTCAATTCAATTATTCCAACGATGATGGATTGCCAGCTCTATCATCAGGTAATTTTCTCACAATTTTAATCTCCTTATTATAACCCTTCATCAACTTGGTGGAAATATCAGCAGCTAATCTTCTTCTGTACTTCTCCGTGTAGGGCGGAAAGGTCTGGATCTTGCTGGACTTCCTTTGAAAAAGCAGTCCAATACAGTAAACGGTTGCGAGTTGGAGAAAACTATGACACGGAAGCCTTTCTCCCCCATTTCTTCCACTGATTCATCCAAGTTCAATGCAACTAACATTTTGGAAGATCAGAACAGAAAGCATAATCAAAATGAGATGGCGAATAAGATGCTTCCAAGTAGCCAAATTCCATTCTCTACCCCAGTGAAGACACTTTATACTACAGAAGAAGAGAACAGAACTCCTCTCACAGTGCCAATAATTCCTGTCCCTTCTACTCCTTTAACTGTGTCTGCCCCCATGCAGACAGCTATAACACCTGTTCATAATGCTCTTGTTCCTTACAATTATTCGAAGCCAGTTGAGGAGATTCCTGTAGAGATTGAGTATTCTTTTGAGGAGAGAAGGCTAGGATTTGTTCTTCCCAGAACACAAGTCTAACACCAACAAAAGACAGAAAATTCATTCTTAATTACTGCTTGGAGTATTTATGATTTGTTAGCTAATCCTGTTCTTGCTTGGAGTATTTATGATTTGTTAGCTAATTCTGTTCTTGCTTTATGGTTAAAAAGTCAATCTGTATATTGGCTTCTTTTAACGTGTACATGAATATTGAACGTGGACTGAAAATTTTATAATAAATAGGTGAATTATTCCTACATGTATGATCATTTTGCAAATCCATAGTACACCAGTGAAATTTATTTCTCTTCACTTCCAATGATCTTATTTTGTCTTCACTTTCAAAATGTATATAGTATGATTTACGTGTGTAGTTGAGATATATAGATTATCTTGCTTGCCTCTTTCTCTATGACAATGTATCTAAAAGCAATGTACACGTATCTAGGTGTATTGGACTTGAAATCTAGTATGACATTATTAACTAGTGAGTAAAATGTAATTATTTCAAACTTCAGGGAGAATATTTGTGTAATTAAGAGCCTGTTTGGCTCAGCTTAAAAGCTGGTCAAACTGACTTAAAAGCTGGTTTTTGACTTATTTAACTGTTTGGCAATACTCAAAATAACTTATTTTAAGTTAAAAAAAACTTATTTTAAGCCAAAAGTTAAAAGCTGGGGTAGGGGTGCTTTTTTTTTTTTAAGCTTATAAGCTGTTTTAAGTTGACCACATTTTTATCTTTTTACCCTTAATATTTTTATATAATCACCAAATTACCCATATAACCCTAACATTTCTTTCTTCCATTTTCCCCTTTTCACGTTTGGCATAACAAATTCAGCACTTTTATCCAAACACATAACTGCTTATTTTAAAAATAAGTTTCAGCACTTTCAAAAGTACTTTTTTAAAGCTGCTTTTATTAAGCCCATCCAAACGGGCCCTAAGTAGTTTGACCTTAGATACACCCTTCATTATTCTTTCGGTCAAAATATCTCCTTTATGTTATCCTTTCAAATAAACCCCTCTCATTATCGACGACACACGTCAAACTCATAGTCAAATAACTCATCTGCAATTTAAAATATTTGATTCTATTTTAATAGTTACTTTTCATAGTTACTTTCAACCCATCCAAACAGCGGTTTGGATGGACTTTAAAGTAGGTCAATCCTACTTGTTAGTCAAATTTATTTTTAAGTTATTTTTTATTTTTGGAATGTTTGACCAAGTTAAAAATAATTTTAATATGACTTAATAAAACAAAGTTGAAAATAGATACTACTCTACTTTTTATTTTTTAACTTAAAAATTACTTAAGTATGACTTTTTTAAAAACTATTTTTTAGTGCTCTAAAAATATATTTAAATTAGGTAATTTGCCCACGCTTCTGTCATAAATAATAATTACATTAAACTTGCAAATATTCTTTTATTAATATTCATACAATAAAAATAATGGAAAAAAGTAGGCTCTTAAATTTTTCTTTTTAGCAATATCCCAACATGAATTTGATTATTTGTCAGTATCACATAACTCAAGAACCTATAATGAATGAATTGTTTCAGGAAATAATAAATCATTAGTTATTTAATCAACATTAAAAGGAAAACAAAGAAGAAATAAGAATATAATATATATATATATATATATATATATATATATATACACACACACAAAGACATTTCGTAAGAAAAAACACACATTTAAGTTGCATAGATTATACAATTGTGATATATATCTGAGAAAAAGTTCAAAATTTTGTTACAGATTCAAAAAAGAAATCACGACTGAACATGAAAATATCTTTTGAACTTGCATAATGAATTTCTTCAATTGATAAGCGAGAAACTTCTCATCTATTAAAAATAGATAATATATAAACTTATTTATATACATAAAACAACCATTTCATTAATTTTTTTTCGCAATTTATCGATCACTTCTTCACTCCAGACTGGTGAATTTGCTTTTAAATTCAAGAATTTTATATATTGTTAAAACATGAATTGTTAGAACTGAGTACAATTATTATTTTCTGTACAATATATTTACTATATATGTATATGTTCAATGTAATTGGAGACAATAACTTTGCAGAAATATAAATAATATAATTAAAAATATATACTTAAAACAATAATTAATATCATAAGTATAAATTAATAGCCGTACCAAAAATAAAAGCATAACAAAATATATAAAAGTAAAATGAAATAGAAAAAAAAAATTGAATCCACCTAATGAAATTTATTCTCAAAAGGGTAAAATTTTAACCTTTTCCAAAACTTCTAAGTACAAACGGAGGCTTATTCACGGCAGCTTCTGCTGACTTAAGCGCAGCTTCACGGTGGTCGCCATTAACGCAGGTATTGGTATTTTTTTCCCTCTTTAGTTTCATTTCTGTGTACTTTACTAAATTGCCTATGCTACCGTAGAGATGATTACTTTGAGTTGCTATAAGAAGCTAGGGCTAGTAAATAGTGTTCCGAACTATTGAAAAAGATGAAATCTTTGACTAGGTATTGAATTTTACGTTTTGTATCATAGAAATTTTCATGTTTCTGTAAATGGTGAAGCACATGTCCATGTCGAAAACAATGTCTTACTGTACAAACATATTAAATTACATTTGCAATGTTAGCATGCCATTTTTTTTTTTCAATTTAGTGGCCTCTGAACAAATTTGTGGCACCCCAATGTGCTATCTCTAAGCAATATTTATATGAATGTTGTAATGGCTCTATGTAGTGGGGAAGAAAGTTGTGGAAAGGGAACGCACTTTGTCAGGAGAAGAGAGATGGTTCACCACAATGAAGCATGTGAAATGTGTACCCGCACGTGCATGTTGATACATGGACAAAGGGATCCCTCACCAATTGTTAACTCTTTCTTCAAAGTCATGATCGATAAACTCTTTTCCAAAATTCTGGTATAATACGATCTTACACTTGGTTTTTAAGTTTCGGGTTTAAAACTTCCTAAAGAAAGTATTGGTTTTTATAACAATATTTGCTTAATTTGTTCTTGTATTTTTCTAATTTAGTTTTTTACATCCATTTGGTTGTATTTTTGAGGTTACTTTGGAGAAAATTTCTTTCTTTTTATAGTTCTAGGCTTGCCTCATTTCTTTTTAGTACATATATTTTGTACACTATCACACCTATGGAGCTATCTACTTAGAATACCACGTCGGACATGGCCAAAACACCTCAGACGACCTTCTCTTGTTAATTTTTTTTTATGTGCGCGGCTTGTATAGTTTGTCTGATGTGGTTATCTCTAACCTTATCCAATCTTGCGTAACACCACACCCATTTTAGCATCTGCAGTTATACAACACTCTGTGTATTACATCTTCGTCTATCATTTCATTCTCTTAAAAACTCAGCCTAGATATTTGGATTGCCTGCATTTTGGACCACAATCCATGGACAAAGCCTAAGTTAAGCGTTGGTTTCGGATAAAGAGAACTTTATAATCTCATTTGAATTGTCGAATAAGTTCTGTCAATCTCATCATTTTTTGTGTTTCAAAGTTTGTAAAAATTACACTGCTTATACAATAGGATAAAATTTAAAGAAATAAGAACTTTAGAGAGATGACCCTTCTTGGCTGGAATCTCTATCAATAAATCAGTCTGTTCCCCCCTTCACCTAGTGATGCTTAAAAAGAAAGACGTTCAAACTATGACTAGACAAGACCAACTTCAACTTGTGATCCATGTAAATTCTTCCAATATTTGAGTACCGTGCCTACCTGCTAATGTCACATTTAAATCTTCTGAAGCATTACAACCTTATGGGATAAATCTGTCTCATCATCCTTCAATCATCGGCTTGAGTCTGCTGCATATATAACATTTCGAATGTCTTTACAGCCACTTGAGCTCGTTATAAAAAATTATATTCCTTACACTTTCAAACGATCCCGATCTGCATTGTTGAAATTTTGAAAAAAAAGACCAAACAGCCTGTCCAAATTGCCAACAATCAAAGAATTCTGAACCTTCTTGTTTAACTGTGGAATACTGGATTAGTTTTCTCAAGTGTGAATCAGGGGAATAACTTCTCAAGAACTGATCGAGATATAGAAGAGTTCTTTTTTGCTCATTAAATATACTCCTAAAACTGATCAACAAAAGATGCAAGTCAGTCTTCAGTGACGTTAAAATTCCAACATGAAATATTTCGTACTTAGAGAAAATAATAGAAAAAACTAATAGAACCTTGAAATCAGATACATCAGTTATTTGGTCCTGTAATGCTACATAATTGATGTCCTTTGATCAAGGGACGTCAGACAGTCCTGTTACAGGTCTGGTTCTTTTGCTTCTAGTGCCGAAGGGGTTGTTATGTTACCAGAAAGTACTTGATATGTTGAGTTGTATAGGTTATGAGGCTAGAGGGGATGACATTTGAGTGAAATTGGATTGTGGAGAAAGTAGGTTACCTATTGAGGCACATAATGGTGGAGTTATGATTGTGGTGTACCGAAGATAAAACAAGGTGGTTGGTGGTGAACATGAAGAAAGGGGAGGGGAAATAATGTGTTGATGGATTGTAAAATTATGAGTTGGAATGTGAGGGAATGAATGACCCAACAAAAGGGCCATCATTAAAGTAGGTTTGAGAGGATGAGTGGTAGATGTGATATGTTTTCAAGAATTTTTTTTGGAGACCTTTACAAATAGCATTATTAGGAAAGGGAGGGGGGAGGTTGACCGAAGTATGACTGTATTTCAGCCGGGGAAATTTGGGAGGAATACTCATTCCTTGGGATGATAGAAGGTGGAGTATGTGGAGGTCAACAATAGGGGGTTTGTGTTACGGATGCAGTTTAGATTCATTAGCAATGGAATTTAGTGAGGATTTGGGGGTATCTATGGACCTATAAGGAGGGGTCAAAGAAGTTTTTTTGGGGAGGAGTTAAGAGTTGAGATGGGGAGGTGGTATATTCTTTGGGGTTTTAGGTGGATTTTTAATACCATAAGATTCCCACAGAAGAGGTTTTGGTGTTACTGATAAACTTTTTCCTATTATTTTCCTTTTAACACGTGCCTCTTTCACTTGGTTTAGGTCGGAGGACCCAATATCTAGATCAAGAGTACAGAGATTTTAAGTGTCTACTTCTTTGGAGTAGTTGGCTCCCAACGTGATCCAGATTCCTCTTCTGCAACGGTTATCAAACCATTCACCAATCATGTTGTATGGAAGTAGAAGAAGATAGACGCGATCTTCTTTTAGATTTGAGAACATGTGGCTAAGTGTGATATATTTCAGGGATGGAGTGACTGGTTGGTGGTGGAGTTACGGTGGATGGGAGGTTTTTTTATATGCTTGCCAAAAGTTGAAATTGCTTAAAAAATATAATGTTGTGGAATAAAGAGGTGTTTGGGAGGGTAGAGGTGAAAATGAGAGAGATTACAAATGAAGTAGAGATAAGAAATGGCAGAAGTAAGAAGGGTGTTAGAGGGAGAAGGAGAGGAAAGAGGGTTTGAAAAAGGAGCAGCCCAAGAGGTTAGTTGGAGAAAGATCGAGGGGAACTCTCATACAAGTGTGAGTTTGATTGCACTATCCTCTTTCCCTTCCCAACCCTTCTAAGTAATGGCAAAATAATTTACTCTAAGAAAAAGCTATGAAGTTTCTGAGCGAAAAATATTCTTACAGTCCTTTATATGGTGTAGGCGGTAGCTGCAATTTCTAAGAAGCTTTGTTTTAGTGTCAGTTTGGTTTCTCTCCATCATGCTTTTAGCAGAGTCCACATTCTATCATTTCTTTTCTTTAGAAATAGTTGGCGTGCATTTGTTGCTTTAACTTTCCTAAATGTTATTTTTTGCAATTTAAATTGACCACATGAAAGGACAAAATTGGTGTTACTTTTTTTTGAAATTCTTATGATAAGCGAATGTTCAATGTACTATTCAAACTCTTCCAATGGTGTGGTGGGTAACTTATTTCATTAGTCTAGGTGTGTGAGTTACATATCAGTTTATACTTTATTATAGCCATTCATATTCTAACTACAAACTTTTCAGTACTTTCCCCCCAGATTTGCTCGATTGGTGTCTCACTTGACTGATCAAGAAACTTATCTGGAGGACTCAAGTGGACAGCAATGGAGGGTGGGAATATGTAATCATAATGGTTCTCTTGCAATTCGACAAGGATGGCGTACCTTTTCATCAGAGCATGGTCTAAAAGTGGGAGACTTTTTGGTTTTCCACTATATTCAGGGTCAGCACTTCGTTGTTCAAATATATGGAACAAGTGGTTGTCAGAAGATCAACTCTTATAATGGCACTCATTTGGGGAAGAAAAGACCGAGAACTAATTCTACAGAAACTTCCCATGATGAGCTGTCTCCTGAAACTGACATAAATTTAAGGAAAAAATGGAATTCAACACCCTCAGTTACTGCTATACCAGAGTCTGAAAGGGCTGGACACCAGCCAGTGACCACAACTTTTGCATCAAACATCGATGCCGAAACTGGAGAGCAACAAATAGTTCCCCAAGAAGAAGGAACCAGTGATGTTCTACAAGGTGAAAACAGACCTCATAATCACACCGATATAATATCACAAAGGGAATCAAGTTCAGTAGATGTGGTCCCTTTGGAGATGGAGCTCTTAACCTTGAAAGCACCTTTCCTTGACGTAAAAATCACTCAGACTGAAAAAATTTCTGGACCAGTGAACGATATTTCACTTTTGGGCCAAACAGATGAAAATGACCATCATGTGGGTCTTATCTCTAGCACATCTCTGATATCAGCTGAAAATGGTACCAGTGGTAATTTTCCCCCTTTCACATATTTCATATTTTTTCTTTATATCTTTACAGTGTCTGGAAAGACCGGAAGGAAAGGGAAAAATACAAAGAGGGAAAATAGGAAGGAAGTGGGAGAGAACTTTAAGTGGGGCAAAGAGAAAAATGATCTGTCTGTCTCTCCCGACTTCTCTAGTTAAATAAAAGAAAAAAAAAAGAAAATTTTGTACTTTTCCCTAATTTCTTTCCTCTTCCCCATTTCCTTGCATATACATGATTTGCTTTGATTTGCTCCAATATATATTCATAACCAAACAATGGAGGATTTATTAGGCAGTCATTTGATGTGTTTATATAATAAAGAAACTCACTGCACCAGCAAAAATCAAGTTACCACAGAGAAATCCAATGAAGCATCTCAATTTACTAAGCTTCCACTCTCTCATATTAAAACATATTTTTTGTTCTGCTGTATTAAATGTAGTTTTACTGTTCTGTCAAGTTATTTATGAGACTCGATTTTTGCTTTATCTTTTTTGGATTTCTGCCTGTTAATTGAGGGGCTTTGCGTCCTACAGCGAAGGAAACAAGAGTAGATAAGCTAGAACTGAAGGAGATGGAAGCAAACACTCGTTGCCCTTCTAAAAATTTGAATGGTATAGCATTTTCATATTTAGTTTATAATTCATTTGATATCCCTTTCTCATAACTGCTCGTCATCCCATGCATGTATACACTGTCGAGTCTCTTTGACCATCTTTCCCGCTGCTTTCTTATTTGATATACTGCATATGAGCAAATGCAGGGAAAGAACCAAAAATAACAGAGAAAGATGGTCAAGTTTATCCTGATGCTGTCATTGGTAATAACATGGTTATAAAAAGCGAGCCTGCAGATTCAGGAGACACATCATTTCCTGATGCTGGTAACTTCTCATGTTCACTCCGGGTGGATGGTCGAAATTTTCTGGTGAAGATCTTGCTGAAATATTATTCCTTCTGCTTTTAGCTGGATTTTGAGGAATTTCATTTGTTCGATTTCTTGCAGCATATACGGTACTTGAATGTGTATAATCTTGAGTGTTCATTGGAGTGACATGCACTTAAGTACTTCTTTCACATATCCTTGGCATTGAATAATCAAAGAAGATATTATATAGGAGCTTGTAAGCATACTTTAGGCCTAAATGCTCTATTATATTTTGGAGAAAAAAATATCTCATTTTTCTGTGAAGCAGGGCCTGCATTCCATTGCTGTTCAAATAACTTTTAATCACCTGATTACACTGTTCATTCTTTTTATCTTTTTCTTTTTGCCATGATTTAAGGCCTAACCTTTCTCATCAGAGAACATAGTTCACTCCACATTGTGCTTAACTATGTGTATTTGGCTGAAATTGTACTTGATTCCTGGATGTATATGCTTTTCGTCTCCTCGATATCTTTGAATTTAAACTTCCTTAAATTACTGTGTAGGAATTACCTCAAAGCTGGCCACAAGTTATTGTGGGCAGAAGGAAGATGGGAAAGATTATTATTTATCTCAAAGGACCAGATAATAGATGCTGGCCTATCATCTATCATGAGAATTTCGGTTCTAAGATCTTGGCAGGAAACTGGGCATTATTTGCTGCAGTTTATGGCCTGAAACCTGGAGATGAATGTCTATTCCAACTTTCAAATCAGTCAAAACGTATGTTTACTGTACACGTAGCTCACAAGGTAGATGTCACTCAAACTACTTTGAGTTGATTATTGTCAGGCATTTGTGAGAATAATGTAAAGGGAGCTATGTCGAGATTTTACTTGATGGTTCTTATAAAGGTCACTTGATTTAACCAAATCTGTAGTCAGATATTGGGTTTATTCATCCTGTGCTTGATCTGTGAATGCTATGTTGATACTTCCATTTAGCAGCATCACACATTGAAGCAAATAAAGGTCTCAAAGTTGCAGATATGACATGCACCCTTTTCTCTTTTCTTAGAAGCACATCAGCTGAACCCGTGCCGCGGAGGTTAGAGCTGTCTATGCACCACTTGCAGGTGCCAACACATTTATATTTAGTATCACAGAGCTACTAGTAAGATAGACAAAAGGGTTTGTCCTGGATTTGTTTATCCTTTCAGTTTTCGAGGCTTGACAAAACAGAAAGTACCATAGTACGTCGTCACATTTGACTTCAATACTATTGGCCAATTATATGAAATCAATTTGACTTCCATGGAAGTCAGACACAATGGGAGTTTGCATGTCTCGATAAGAAAGATATCATTGTACTATTAGTAGAAGAATTACCGTTTATGGAACTTCACTAGATTTTATTTTATTGAATGATAGTTATTGAGACAATCTTAAAGTGCCTCTGGTCCTATAATATGCACTTTTCCACTTACTTGGTTTCTCAAAATCAATCAATGTAGCTATTTTGCCTCCTCATTCACCAACATATTCATAAAGAAAATATACTGCAAATTATTCTAAAGTCCCACAAAGACCAGGATAACATAGGAATATTTTCTCTGAGTACTGCCAAAGTTGACTAATTGTAATGACTTCAAAAATCATAACTCCAGGGTTTTTGGAATATTATATATCTTACAATTGCCTCTATAGATTTTTCGGACTCGTTTAAACACTTTTCGAATCACCTTGTATTTATTTCTGCTACTTCTATATTATAATCACAGTTTGATAGTAAACTTTACGATAAAATAGTTTATTAAATGAAAAATCAAGGGTATTTTTCCAATTTTTTTAATATTGTTTGAATGGTCAAGTTTAATATATTACCTAAAAAGACAAAGACAAGGTCAGAGATTGGAAAATTTTGTATGGCTCCAATGTTAACTTTACAGCTTGAAATAAATTAAACCACAATTTAATAGTGAAGAGAGTTTTTTTCTTCCCAAATTTCTTTTGCTTTTTTTAAATATTTAATTCATTTAACTTAGTCATTTTTAAAAGCATCATTTAGTAACAATCCTAGATGGACGTCAAATCATTTATTTAAACATAATTAATGCTACTTTGAATTTTTCCATTTAAATATTACCTAATACTTAATTATTTTTCATATTTTTTAATTGACTTACAAAATTATTTTTCCCGAATTTTCAACTTTATTTTTCGTCCATCATCACCTTTTTTTTTCTTGCAAAAAACCCTAATTTCACCAACTCTCTCAAGAAATTTTGAAAGCACAATAAAAATTAGCAATACATATTTTCTTTCCATTTTCATAAAATTATTTTGTTTTTTTAAAGCTCTGTTCTTTCTTTTGCAGTAACAGAGTATCAGTTAGTCATTAGTTTTCCAGTGCACATGGTCAGATGATCTTTCTGTAGATACAATTAAGTCTAGCATTTGCAGATTTCTGAGTTTGTACTTTTCTTGGTATTTTTTTGCTTGTATTAGCATTTGAAAAAAGATTGTATTTTTATTATATTTGTTATTATGGGGTTTTGAGTTCTTGAAAAACAAATATATTTTTGCTGTTTTGGGAGCTTATGTTATTTGGAGTTGTCTTCAGGGTTTAAGGGGTTTTGAGTTCTTGAAAAAAAAACCATTTTTTGCTGTTTTGGGGGATTAAGTGATTTGGAGTTGTCTTCAGGGTTTAAGGGGGCTTGAGTTATTTGGGGTTTAAGGGGTTTTGGTTGTTTTATTATTGTGTATATGCATGGAGGAGAAAGAAGGAGTTAATGGTTCAGGGGTTACAGTTAAAGGTGATGAAGCTCCAGAGAGCTACAGAGTGGCTCCCAGGAGTGAAAGTAATAATATTGAGTTTAGTGGATCCATTGTAGCAACAACACCTGTAAATGTGACAGAAGAGACGAAGAAGAAGAGGGGTAGACCTAGGAAATATGGACCAGATGGTAAACCAGCAGTTGCATTATCACCAATGCCAATATCAGCTTCAATTCCTCTTGCTGGAGATTTTTCAGCTTGGAAAAACAGCGGAAGTCGCCCCGTTGATTCCTTTAAGAAGAAGAATAAGTTTGAGGTTGGAGCTCCAGGTAACATCTTGATACTCCTATTGATCCTTTTTCCCCTATTTGCATTACTGCGTCTGTTTTTATATTTTAGAATTTGAATGGAATTTTAAAATTTTCGGTATTCATGCTGCTGAATAGTTATTTGTGAGTAATAATGTTTCAGCATGAGGCTGGGTCTACTGGTGTGGATTTGTTTGACCTGTTTCTGTTTGTTTCTGCATTGTTCATTGAAGTGAGTTATTGTAAGTATTTAACTTAAACTGGGGTCCCCCTATCAAGAAGGGTCTTGATTTCCTGGCATTTATGATGTTAAAGAAGATACTAAAAGCGGAGATTCTTACTGAATCTAAAGCTGCAATTTTCTTGATGCATTAAGCCAAATAGAGTTGGACCACTTGGCTGTGTATTCTTTTAAGCTGATATGACTGGACAGGTCTGTCTTTACCCAAGAATTGTGAGATGGAATAAGAAAAAATAACCAAGTGCATATAACGAAGATGCCGATTAACTTTTGCAAAGACAAGAAAGTGATGGAATCTATATTGATCTGACCCATCTGACTCATATTCTTGTACTATTCATCTTTTTACATGACAAAAAAATATTGAGCTCAGAATCAGTTAATTCAGTTATAGTTGTACAAGTAATTATAATGTAGATGGGTTCTGACACAATAACATTTGCTATTTGAATATTCATGTCATTCACTATTGTGCAAAACACTCTACTGCTGTGATAGAGAATACTAGACATTCAATTAGAACAGTAACCACATATGTTTGCATGGCCCTATCAAAGTAATATTCTTTTACCACCTCATTGATCGGTTATCTTCTCGATTTCTACAAGATTAAATGTTGTATTTAGCAGCAATGTGTTCTAAGATAGTTTACTCTCTCAGAAATAATAAAAGGGTTATCATCATTATGAAACATTTGAAGATATGTCCTCGTGAATGCATGCGAGTAACGAAATTCTGTTTATTGTGCTATTTTATCAAATTTCATAAACTAGAATGCAAATATACATGGATATTTGTCTGTCGATGTAAATTTGTTATTGACAGTATATCAACAGATGTAATACTGTTGTCATAATTCATATATAATCATGCAAAAATGAAGTGCCTCGATGAATCTATTAATAAGTTATCAAAAAAATAAAAAATTGAATCCATTGATAGACTTGACCAGTATACCATTTTGAAACTTAGTAGCGTATAGTTTTCTCCAATTTTCCGTTGAAGCTGGTTAAACTTGCTCTCTTTGTGTTTTGCTTCAATATAATACTATCTAAATATCATGCTTATGAATTTTGCTTGTTGGAAACTGATATTATATTTAAAAATTCAGTTCCCTGTGTCTTGAAGGTTTAACTTTGTTTGAGCTAATACTTAACTCTGTATTTCCTTAGGGGAGGGGATGGCATACTCTGTCGGTGCAAGTGCAAATTTTACACCGCATGTGATCACTGTTAATGCTGGGGAGGTAAGCCTTATGTATTAATGAACTTCAAATGCTCATACTCCATTGTGCCTGCTTTATGACCTGAAGAAAGGAAGGATGGTGCTTGTTGAAGTTAGAGTTAAGGAGAGACTTATCTTATATGTTCCTTCTATAAGTTATGACTAATTTTAAAAATTTTATAGTAGGGATACTAGAGAAGTTAATCTGATGTTATGGACTACTACACAAATTTTTCTTTTGACCTTCTTATCCAGCCAAGTAGTGGTGTAACTGAAATAGAAGGAATAGTTATCCTAACTAATGACGTTCATCAGTGCTCAATTTTTCAAACATCATTGTTGCTTCTAGGTACACTCTTGCAAAATTGGGTTAAATATGGCTTCTAGCTGGGGATATGTGCAAATGTGTTTCTAGGCACTGATAAAGCACGAAGAGTGATAGTTGGTCAGACATGTCGATCAAATATATGATTCTATTTTCCATATGTCAAGTTTGAATTTCTCTAGTGTATTTGACTGGTCAAAAAAGAGTAACTATAAGAGGTGACTTGTAAGCAAAAAAGAACTTCCATACAGATATTTTGGATTTTGGTTATATATGTCAGTCAGCCAAAGACGTCAGACTTATATTTCACACTGTTCTGCGAAACTATGAATAGTGAAAACCCATGCCACCCCTTGGTGAAGACAATAGAGAAGGTATATTGGTGAAAAGTAAGAATTTTTTCCTGAAGTTGACATGAGGTATAATTATAATTTCTGATGTATTTTTCCTTCTCAAAAAAACAATTTCTGATGTATCTTAGGAGAAACAGGTTAAAGCACCTAAATTAGGTGTGCTTCTTGGAAGATGGTATTTTGCATTGTGATAATTCTATCTGACTGAAGAAACATGTTCTGAACCTTTGTTTCCTTTAAAGGATGATGTATTTTTAATTCCTGGAATAAGCTTAAATGGCTGCCTTCTCTATTATCCATCTCCTTTTTTTTCACCCCACCAACTGAGTGCTTCATTTGAATGATAGGAATCAAATTAGGTCTTCTGCTTTGACCCTTGGGTAATAGAAATATATTGTAAGGCTGTCTCTTATGCAGTAGAGATTGACGCATGCATGTTATTGCGGTATTCTGTATTCAAAATTGTATGAAATATGAATATCAATTCCCACTAAACCAGTTGAGTGGGATGTATAAAAGTTTCACATACACCTACAAATGGAGTTCCTGTGTATCTCTTCAAAGGTGAAATAAATATGTGTATCAAGAACTACCCCATTTAGACAAATATTTTGACTTTTGCTTTGCTGTGATTCATCTGCATTTAGCCTCTTGCTAGTTGCATGCTGCTGTCTACTGCTGTATGAAATGAAGACATTATCAAGATGGTTCTTAAGGCATAATAGGCTGATGAACCCTAGATTTCTTCTGATAAAAAAATTGTCGAAAAGATTTTTGTGAAAGGGAAGTCAAAGTAGACAATGAGTTGGGCGGAGGTAGTTTTAGTTGTTATTCTTATTGTGATTATTACTTCCTACCCAGTCTGATTGATACAATATCGTAGAACTGTATCTGGATAATTAATTTATATGGCTTCAATTCACCTGCTTTCTCAATTATACATATTTACATTTAACAAAGACCCTATGATATATGTAATTGTGAATGGTTTGATGTACAACTAGTAGATATCTCATTATCCATATGTAGATCTTCCTTAGGCCTGTAACAAGTGACTGGTGCTTATTGGTTATTTCTATTGTACAATAAAGAACTAGACTTTGAGTGCTAACAATGTAGCGCTAATTACTTCTATTTAGTATGTCTTGAAACCAACATCTCTTGAACTTTTGGAAATTAGACAACTCCTGGATGTAGTGGTTGTATCAAGACGACTTTTTTAAAGGAGTTCATACTTGCATGAAATTTTTTTGTGGTTTTAAATAATACAGTACTGGACATCTAAAATAGGAAATACAATACTGGAATCTTGAATATGGGTGAAATAAACAAATTTCAATTCAATTCTCAATTTGCTCTTTGCTCACAGAGCATCACACCTGAATAAACTAAACACTAGATCTGGAGACCCAAAAATTTATAGCCTTGAGAATGTTTTTTCCATACTTCCACATTTATGATTTCTGTAATGATAATTGTCTAGAAAAGATGCACTTGCTTACTTCAACGGTTTAACCTACTCGTGCACATGCACTTGGTGCTTTAGATTGATACCCTCTTTACTTTATGATTGGGCTTTAATTGATTTTTATGGACTCCCAAGTTCCAGTGAAAATGATTAAAATTCTTATAATATGTGATTTGGCAATGATTGGCCTTGCCATTTGAGGAAGTACGTCATATTTCTGGGAAATACAAAGTAGTAGGTTAAACAAAGTGGGATATATGTAGTAATTGTCAGTCCAAATATTAGAGATTTAACTCTTTCCAATTTGATTTGGGACTTGGTATCGTAGTCAATTGGGGGGATATGTAAATAATTCTCATGCCATGCAGCTTGTCCGTCAGGTTAAAATATGTATTTGATGAAACATACTTACTAGAACTTGCACCAAATACAAAAAAAGTTCCATCTCACTGTTGGCAAACAATTATAGTATAGCTGAGGAACCTTGCTTCTGAACATTTATTTTTGCTGAAATTTCCTTGGATGTTTGAACTTGTCTTAGAATACATTAAATCCAATTTCTTTTTGATTTATTATTTCTTTGGTCTATTAGGATGTGAACATGAAAATAATTTCATTTGCTCAGCAAGGATCTAGAGCTATTTGTGTGCTGGCTGCAAATGGTGCAATTTCAAATGTTACACTCCGTCAGCCTAATTCTTCTGGTGGTACCTTGACCTACGAGGTGTGAGCCGTTTACTTTTTACTATGCACAAAAAAGCAAGAAAAAAATTATGCATGCATAAAATGTATACTTCTGTCCCATTGGGAATGAATGCAAGAACGGCGATGGGTCGTTCATCATCAGAGCATTTCTTCTAATCTAAATTATGATTTATGTTTCTTGCTTGCTGCAGGGTCATTTTGAAATTCTCTCTCTGACAGGATCATTCATGCCTAGTGATAATGGAGTAACAAAAAGCAGATCTGGTGGGATGAGTGTCTCTCTTTCAGGACCTGATGGTCGGGTTATGGGAGGAGGACTTGCCGGCATGTTGGTAGCTGCTGGTCCCATTCAGGTTAGTTTGGAACTACCAATGTTTTTGCCCCACTTATTCTTATTCCAACAAGGTGTTAGGCAACAAGCTGTTCAAGCGAAAATAAAATCACATTTTGGGATTATTGGCTGGAATTGCCACACAATATTATTGATCTTTCGTTTCCTCTACTTTTCCTTTGTATGCAATATGCATTCCATGTAAGTGGGTAAGTTCTTGAAATCTTATGAATGGCCAATTGCACCCACAGATAACTGCTACTTTGAATATCTTCTTCCTTAAAAACTTCTACTATTTCCTCATTTGTGTTCGACAACGATTTTGCAAAACTAATCTGAACGTCTTGAGTGCATCAGATTGTGGTTGGTAGCTTTCTACCTGGTCAACAGCTGGAGCAGAAGCCAAAGAAGCAAAGAGTCGAGCGTGCTGCTATTCCTGCCCCTCCCATTTCTGAAGAACGAACTGACGTTGCTTCCTCTGGAACAAGTCCCCGAGTTGCTGCTTCGATTTCCTTTCCTGGGGATAACTTGATCACTTCAAATTCTATATACAGCTCAAGAATCTCAGCGTCACAAAACAACATATCTTTGCCTGGAACGGTATCTAAAGAGCAGAGCCTGTCATCCTGATTGAACTGATCGTTGCAACCTTATTGCTAATTGTTAGCCTCATGATCCCTTTATCTGATGAATATTAAGAAGTAATTGACTTTGATAGGATTTAGTAGGGCATAATTTTGTGTTTAGCTTAACCTAGAAGTACTTCACTCTTGTTATAGGTGCCACAAGATAGGAATTTTCTACCAGTAGGAGCTGTTATGAACTATCACATTTTTTCTGATTGACTTAAATCTTAATGCTGATGTACCGCTCAGTCTTTGGAGTAAATTGCAGAATCTCATTCTATCATTTGATGAGTAAAGGCTGAAAATAGGCAACTAGGAGGCTGTGTTAAAAATGGATCTGCAATGAACGCCTACAGATGACATGATATGACCTGACTAAAGATACCAAAAGATACTTTTTTCAGAACCCAACTTCAGTTGATTAAAGTTAAATTTGGCGGTGAGTAAATATACCTTTATCGTTAACCAAAGATCCTGATCCAAATGAATATCAAATAACAAAAGAAAAAAGAACAACAATCATTTGAAACATCAACACATTGAAAGTGTTTAAGAAGCCTATTGGTTTCTCTAAGGTCAGTAAGATAAGCACCATGAGTTGTTTGAATAACAAGATCCATGTGTTGCTTCACCTGCAAACAATATCTGAAGTGGAGGACAATTCTTTGATATCCTATTAGGCAATGGTTCAGCCACAGTATCCAAATCATCTCCACTTGATCCAACAGCTATATAATAAGTATATGAACCAAAGAACAAAGGATCACTACCCCATTTGCACCTCAAAATGTTAGAAAACTTTACGCGATTTTCTTCTGCAGAATCTGTGTTATTCTTGAATTGCTTTGAGTTTGCAAGAAACAAACACCATCTATTGTCTCCTCATTATAAAGAGCTTCTTTCAAAGGAACTTTAGGGTAGAATAAATATCATGCCATTATCATCATGAGTACTTGGACTACTCAGTTTCAAGAATAACTTGTCAACAACACCATATCCAAGTCTTGAAACTAGGAAGCTGAGGACTAAACATAGCAGAGTTATCGCGAATTCCTTTCTTTAAAACACCTAATGAGACTGTAACAATAACATGATCAGCATACATTACTAAAATGTAACTTCACAGGCTTAGTATCAGTACCACCATCATCATTTTCCAATATTAAGTCAGATTCCCATTCAATTTTGGTCACTTTTCGGCCTAATTGAATCAAACCATCAGGTAAAACAGAGGCTAAAGCTTCAATCACACTCAAATACCCTTTACCTACAGTCGTTTCATCTCCATGAAAATTACAATACTCACTTTCTCCATTGAAATCAAGATGTAATGCCTATGTACATTCTCAAACATTGCGAATATACGCCTTCTTCAAGTGACTTTCTACTCCAGTTATCAAACACTTGTACATTTCCAAGACCTTTCTTAAGATAAGAACCAGTACTGAGGTTTTTAATATTACCATTTTCAAGATTCAAACTTTCAAGAATTTGTCTACAAACCCCATCTTCAAAATTTTCTTGACAAGAAGAAAATTCTAACAAATTTGTTGTAAAAAATTGATATGGACTCAACAAGAGAGGAATTTTACTTGATAACCATTTTCTGTTATAGTGACACTTTAGCTGCTGTTAGACCAACAATTCCTGCTCCAATTATCACAATTTTTGTCTTTTGTCTCAACATTTTTGAGGCAAAAAGAAACTGAACTTTAAGTTTCGGATTAGTGAATAAATCGAAATAAAAGAAGAGATTTTTCTCGATTTTTGTGAAATGTATATGTTTTGTTTGGTAACTATAGTGCATGTGTGTTATCAAGTATGAACTAATAAATAGAGAAGTGAATTATTTTGTGCTACTTATACTATACACAAGTATCTATGAGCTAATCGTCATGACTCATGTTTGCTTCTTGATAAGGGTATTTTAGTCTTTTGGTGACTTCTTCGATTTAAGCTGTGGTTCACTTCAAGTTGTGGATTGTCTTTGCGGATTTAAACTTAATTGAATTACCGTTTGAAATAAATTGAAATTCCTGTTTAAAATTTTAAATTTTAGTAGTAAGCCTCCAACTTTTGTAAAAAAATAATTGAAATACACAATTTTAATGTAGTTTAAAAAAAATGAAGTCTCCAACTTTGATAAGAAATAACTGATATGCCTCTAAAATAAGTTAAAATCTTATTTAAATTTGTAAGAAAATGATTCGTCATTATTCCTTTAAAAATAAATTAAAACCTTGTTTGGATTTTTAAATTTCTAGTATAGTAATTTGATTAGTCCCAAATTTGTGTAGAGAAACTATTAATGTTCCTTCAAAATAAATTAAACCCGCGTTTAAATTTCTGAATTTCAGACATAATTCAAGTATCCAGCTTTAAAATAAATTAAACCCGCGTTTAAATTTCTGAATTTCAGACATAATTCAAGTATCCAGCTTTTTGGTACGATACGATAATTCGAGTTGTAACGCTACACGAAGGTCGATCGCGTTATTTCTCATTTTTGGTGTTACAATCCTCATTGTTATTTTTTTTTTTCTTTTTTGAATATATAATAAAGTTTGTAACATAAACATACCATAATAATTATATTTTGTGTATAGTTTCTGTTTTGTTTTAAGAAAACAAAGATATATGTATTTACAAGTTTGTGTTAATGTATAAGTACAGTATTCTATTCTTGTGAAATTGAAAGTCGAGTACCAAAAATAGGACATAATATTCATTTTATCTGTCCAAAGTTTTATCTTGAAGTATTATCCATTTAACTCTTTTTAAGACACTCTATTTATGTGTCTTATTCATCAAAACCAAGATTACTTATGAACATTTAAAAGCAAAATCAAACTAAACAAGAGACTATAACTTAATATCTGTTGGAGAGAATGATATTAATATCGCTAATAGAAGCCATGACAAACGATAAATTAAGTTCAAAGAAGAACATCTGCAACTTCAAATGTTGAAAAATTCATAAACATGAACCATTGAAGTCATCCAACGACTTCTCACTTCTCTATATGAAATTATGAACCAACAAACATATTGCAAGTACCCAAACCTTACTAAATGGACAGATAGTAACAGTATATCGAAAGCAAAACATGATCATCCAAGGATTTTGGTCTTCCAACAGTACTCTCCGACAAGTCATACAACAATACTTCAAAATTTTAGCAGGAATCGGAAATTGAGTCATCTTACAAAAATGGTAACCCCTGCTCTACTTGTATAATTTGTACAAGTTCTCCCCGCAAATGAAGCCAACTCGTTTTTGCATAAAAAGAATACTATGACAACAATTTTAGAATTATGCTGAACAGGCAAAAACGTCCACAATATGAAGGCAAGGTCAATTAACGTTTACCAGCTCAACGTCAAATACCAGCCATGAATTGGGTGGTATGTCACGACCAGCGCCTTTAGCCCCATAACTGGAAAACAAGAAGAAAAAAAAAAGACCATTACTCAATCATGCATGGGTAACTGAAAACTGGAAAGACATTCAAATTCAAAGGATGCTGCAAACAGGCAAAAACTAGTAACTTGCTTGGGAAAAAATTAATTTCGTTTCTGATTTTCCTTTCTCTCTCTCTCAAGCAAGGGAAACACTCTAGTCAATGCCCCTACTTAGGGCATGCTCTTGCATCTTACAAGAATTTTTTCACAACCCAAGACAGGTTTTCATGCTCTTGCATTAATGAAAGGATAAGTACAAACGACTGCAAACAGAACAGAAACTTAAATCCATACCCCATGGCTGGTGGGATTGTGATCCTTCTTTTGTCACCAACGCGCATGCCTGATAGTAGGATGTACATAAACAAGTTAGCCCTCAACACTAGAAACACAACTATAAAATTAGAGAAACATTCAGTTAGTCATCCAAGTGAATTACCATTTACACCAACATCCCAACCCTTTATAACTTGACCAATACCTGCAATCACAAAAACCTAAGTTTAACACATCAAAATAATTAAATCCATCTTCACATAAGATCAAATCTAGTACCTAAGCGAAATTCAAAAGGTCTTTTCCCAATATTGGAATCGAATATTTTGCCATTCTTCTTCAGCTTGCCAATATAACGTACACCAACCTGCTCAGTGGCAGAAAATCATTATCAATAAAGGTAGTGTACTCCATATATGTTCATTAAAGAGGAGAGGCCTAAATCCTAATTGACTTAATTGTGAAGTAGCAACAAGATCCCATTACTTTCCCCGGAAAGTACAAAATGAAAAAGTCGATTTAGAGAAACAATTAATTACACTTGACAAGGAAGAAAACGAGACCTTCTTTCCAGGGGAAGCTTTTTTCCCATCTGGCTTGCCCATAGCCAGCTCCTCTATGACCAATCCATTTCCAAATGTCCTCGCATGAGAAGGCTTAGTCCCTGCATTCTCTTCCTGTGATTCATTCTTCTTATCTTTTTCAACCTCAGTAACAGCTTTGCCATCCTGTTGATTTTTCTTGTTCTTTTTCTTTTTCTTCTTTTTCTCTGTATCCCTGAGAACAATTTTTAGTGAAAGAATAAACTCACAAGGCTTCTTACAAGTAACAGCAATGGAGTTCAATAAAATATACAATAAGCTCATATGGAAGCCAATCAGAATAAACTTTCAGCCAGATTGGGCTCGTTAATTATGCAATCCAGACTCATTTGCAAAACATATCAGTTTATAGCCTTATTCTTTTCGTTTATAGTATACACTACAAGAGAGCAGAACTTACTTCTCATTAGTTGGTTTCTGACCATCTTCAGTTTTACCTACTGAAAATGCCTCATCATTGCCCTCTACATGCTCTGGATTGGCACTTCTCTTTAAAACATCCTCATGATCCAATTCCTCCCCATCCACTACCTTTTTCTTCTTATTCTTTTTATTTTGCTTAGCGTTGTCTTTTCTGCTTATAGGATAAGAAGAAAATAGAGTTATCATCACTAAAATAAATCATAAAAGTTGAATTTTGATCATATCAACATTAAGCAATATATGCGCAGCCTAAATTCAAAATTCACAATACACTCTACAAAGTAAAATGGTTCTCACCCTTGCTGATCATTGTCTTTGCCAGTATCATCACGAAGTCTCTTTTTTAAGCCTTTCTTCTCACCTGCTTCCTCACCTGTATCCTGATCTTTAGTTCCATCTGACTTTTGAGATCTAACAGATTTAGTTTTGTTTTCAGAGGGAGCAGATATCGGAAAGCCATCCTCATCTTCACTCTCCATCAGAGGACTTTCAGTATTAC